GGGATGCCAGCAGGGGTCTGAGACCAGGCCCCCCAGACCCCTCAGCTTGCAGTCCACTTTCTTACAGTGACTGTTCTCTCCAGGCCCCAGACTGGCCTCAGGAGCTCCCACGACCCCGACTTGCAGCTCTCCCACCCCCAGCTGGACTCTTCTTCATCCATCCCCACCAGGCCTGCTCAGCAGCTCTCAGCAGCCCTTATAAATCAGTCCCTGTTGCCCTTTTATCATCCTCTTGCTCTTCTTGGTGCATGCAGCCATCTATCGGCAGCCTGTTGGGCCTGTGGAGCCTGGAATAACATCTCTCTTCCAGGAGCTGGGTTTCACTATTTGAGGGGCGAGGACTCTCCTAGGGGGCAATCAGCTCTCTGAGTAGGTTTTCTCTTTGTTCTTCCCAGATCGAGCCCTGGCTGTCCAGGTCCTTTCTTCCCTGCCCAGTTCCTTCCCTTTTCAGTGGCTTCCTAGCCTCTCCCCTCATTGATTGCCCGTGGACCTATTTGCATATCCCCTGCAGAGAGCGCTTGCTGCTTCCCAGGGTAAACCCCTGGGATGATTGTCCAGGAAGATTCTGGCATCTCCCAAGTCTCTGAGTGCCCAGCTGCCCCCTAGATCTGAGGGGGGCATCTACCAAGGATGTTCCTTGGGCTTGGGGAGCCTGTCTTGGCATGGCCACCGTCCCTGTACTTCTGTGGTACCTTGGCCAGTGTCCTTGCTGCATCCTCCCTACACGGAGAAGACCGGCAGAGCAGATGCTCTCATTCTGTTTTAGGACACAGGAAAGAGAGGTTCAGAGGTTAAACACCTTGGCCCAAGTGCCACGGTTGGTCAAGTCATCCTATTATATACTCTCATGTTCCTTTTTATCATGCTTTCAAGGCTTTTAGGATATTTTCAATTTTATATTTTATTTATGTGATTACTTGAATTCTGTCTGTAAGTTTCGTGAAAACAGAAACTTGGGACCACTCTGCCCACCACCCCATCCCCAGTGCCTTGTCCCATTGCCTCACACGTTTGTTGTTGTTGTTGTAGTTAGTTCCCATCAGTTCTGACTCATGGGAAGCCCAGGTGTGCAGAGTAGAACTGCTGCATAGGGTTTTCAAGGCTGTGACCTTTCAGAAGCAGATCACCAAGCCCTGTCTTCTGCGGCACCTCTGGGTGGGTTCAAACTGCCAACCTTTCAGCTAGTAGTTGAGGAATTAACTGTTTGCACCACCCAGGGACTCCTGCTTGGCACATGTTGGTGTTGTTGTTAGGTGCCATCAAGTCGGTTCCGACTCATAGTGACCCTATGAATAACAGAAGGAAACACGGCCTGGTCCTGCGCTATTCTCACAATCATTGCTATGTTTGAGCCCATTGTGGCAGCCACTGCGTCAATCCATCTCACTGAGGGTCTTCCTCTGTTTTGCTGACCCTCTGTTTTACCAAGCATGATGTCCTTCTGCAGGGACTGGTCCCTCCTGATAACATGCTCAAAATACATGAGATGAAGTCTCGCCATCCTTGCTTCTAATGAGCATTCTGGCTGTACTTCTTCCAAGACAGATTTGCGTTCTTCTGGCAGTCCACGGTATATTCGATATTCTTTGCCAACACCGGGCACATAGTAGATGCTTCATAAATACGTTTTTTAAGTTATTAAAGAAACAGATGCGCCACAGGCAGAACATTCATTCATTCATTCAGCAATGTATTGAGTATCAGGCCTTTTGATGAGTTCTGGAGGTAAAAGATAAATAAGATACAATCCCCACCCTTGGAGAAATCAATTTTGTTGATGGAAAAAAAAAAAGCCAGTTGCCATCGGATGACCCCATGTGTGTCAGAGTAGAACTGCACTCCATAGGGTTTTCAATGGCTGATGTTTCGAAAGTAGATTGCCAAGTCTTTCTTTCGAGGTGCCTCTGGGTGGTCTCAAACCGCCAACCTTTCACTTAGCAGCAAGCGTGTTAACCATGTGCACCACCCAGGGACTCCTTGTGGGGGTAAGATATACTTGTCAATAAAAAATTACAACAAATGTGGAAACTGCCATATGGAGGCATGTCCTAAACGCTATGAGAGAACAAAGGTTATAAACTCTTCCTGGAGGGTCAGCAAGGCTTTAGGGAGAAGGGGACTTGAAGGACGAGTGGAAGTTTATTTTCTGGAGTGCTGGGGGTGGGCAGGGTGAGAGAAGGGCATTCTTAGCCCAAGGGCTCAGAGAAGGCCTGTGAGGATCCCTATGTGGGCAGGGCTTGAAGCCAGGCTCTTGGATCTCTCCCTTCACCAGAAAGGAGCCAGGGATGTCCCACGTGCCACCCCTCAGGCTCTGGGTCCAGAAGGACCATACTTGGGTCCAATCTGGGGCACAAGGACAGCTCAGCCACCTGTCATTCTCCTTTGATAATGGGCTGCCAGCCACATTTTCCGAGAGGGAGTTCCATATCTGAGCCAGTTTGAAACAATCTTGTAAGATTTCTTGAGCCAAAAGCTCGGATATAACCTATCCAGTCTGGTCGCTCCACTCTCTCATCTTATAATTCCATCCAGCACATCATCAAGTCAGCGGGTCACAGCTGTCTGCAGGCAATTTCATGCAGTCCTCCTCACACTGATTTTCTTGATCTTTACTCCCCTTCTCTGTGACAGGTTTAGCATTGGTTTGTCCGACTTTCAGTTCCAGACATGATTACCAAACCCAAACCCAAACCCATTGCCATCGAGTCGATTTTGACTCATAGCAACCCTGTAGGACAGAGTAGAACTGCCCCCATAGGGTTTCCAAGGCTGTAAATCTTCACAGAAGCAGACTGTAACATCTTTCTCCTGCAGAGCAGCTGGTGGGTTCGAACCCCTGGCCTAAGGGTTAGCAGCCAAGTGCTTTAAACACGGCTCCCCCCGTGGTTAAATTTATGTCGACTTGGCTAGGCCCAAGGGTGGCCCAGTTGTTGTATCAAACACTAGTCTAGATGTTGCTTTGAAGGCATTTACATGTGATTAACATGTACAATCAGATGACTTGAAGTAAAGCGGATGACCCTCCGTAATGTGGGTGGGTTTCATCCTGTCAGTTGAATTTCTTAAGAGCAAAAACTGAGGTTTCCTGTAAGAGAAGGATTCTGCCTCAAGACTGTAACATAGAAATCAGCCTGTGTTTGCAGCCTGCTGCCTGCCTACAAATTTTGGATTAGCCAGTCCCCATGACAATCATGTGAGCCAGTTCCTTAAAATTAATCTCTCTCTCTCCGTCTATGTATACATATAGCCTATTAGTTCTAGTTCTCTGGAGAACCCTAATACAGTTACCCTTTGTTGTTGTTGTTGCTGAATTTGTAGATAAGATGCACAGACACATATGCATACAGAAAAGAAAGGGAGTCAGGATTCTTGGGGACCAAAGTGGGCTGTGGGTTCACCTGAGATGCGAAGGTAATAGGGTTGTTTTATAAGTACATAAGCACCAGAGAGAAAGGTAAATGTAATTTACTGTGTGGGGTTGGGAGGCGGGCAGAGGCTCAATGCTCCGGGACATTTAAGTTGTGCCTGCAGGGGAGGAGGGCCCCAAATCACAGTTACAAACGTCACTGAAGGGTGGTGTCAGATCCGTGGAGAGAAGCAGGCCACTCATGCCTCTACAGTTGGAGTAAATTTGGAAAGAGGAACCCAGTAATTTTGACTAAAATGATCTCATGGGTTTACTTTTTTGTGCCACCCATACACATGTACACACACTATCCCACCCATGGAGGACTCCTGGGCCCCTCCCCTGCTGTTTTTACACCAATTTTATTCTTATTTGTATCTTTACAGAAAATGGCACAGAGATCACAGCTTTAGAATACCTAGAAGTTATTACAGTTCCGTATTTCAAACACCTCAATATCAAGTTTCTTTCTTCTCACTGTATGTACATTATTTACACACCAGGGGCTACAGCCTAACACTTCAAACCAACAGGGGACAAGGACAAGAAGAACTGAGGGGAAAGTTCCATGAACAGAATGAAGAAGAAATCAATTTTTGATACAGAAATAAAATTGCAACTCACTGTCTCAGGCCTTTCTCTTGCAAGGTATTCCCTACAAAGGTGGCGGATAGTAGAAGGTAATGTCATGGAAAGAGTGATCTTGTGCCTGGCTTGGGAATATGGGTTTGGTGGACTCAACCAGGCTGTATGTTCCCGTTACTAGTTTGAGTGGTAAAAGCCAGGGTGGAAGGCGCAGAAGCCATCAGTACCCATAGGTCCTCCCATCAGCAGACAGGAAGAAGAAGCCCCCAGTCCCTTAGTCCAGCATGGTTCCCTTGTCTATATTATTCTAGCTGACATGCATCATGGCATACACCTGGCATTGAAGGTGTGTCTGTGTGCCTGCAGCTTGCTTTAGATTTTATGCTGGCCTCCTGCCTTGCTCTCTTTCCAGCCTATTCCCATAACTTTCTGATGAATATTTACCTCCCCAGGCCAACTCCAGGCTTGGCCTCTCAGGGACAGCCTGGATCAAGTTGAGGCAGGGTTTGCAGCTTCCTAGGTATACATCTAACAGCCAGATTGGGTTGCTCCAAGACAGGGCACATGCAAAGCAGTAATCTGCAAGAAGCTCTAGGGGAAGGGTACTTGCACAGCAAGTCAGGGTCACAGGCAGCATTATCAGGAGAGTCAGGAGGCTTTAGGACCCAAGCCAGCACCAAGGGGCGCTGGGTAGAGGATTCCCCACCAGTGCAGTGAGCCACAGCACTGTGAGAGAGGTGCCTCCTCTCTACAGGGCCCAAGGCATGGACTCACTACAGGTACTGTGCATTGATGCCACATGCGGTGTTGGCAGCTGTGATGGTGGAACCAGTCGGGTAGGCTTGGTGTGGAGAGGCAGTTCCTAGGGTGAACATGGCAGGGCAAGAGACTGAGGGGGCCGAGGGGCCCAGACTGAGACTTCCATGTTTAATCTGGCATCTGGACCCCACTGGGGGTGTGAGGCACAGATGGTGCCTGGGCCTGCAAGGCCCTGGGAAGGAACAGGCTGAGAGCTGGAAGTAGACTTTTGCTGAGGACTGGGTATTCCGGGCACTGGAGCTGGAGGGCAGGTCCTCAGTCAGGGTCATGGCTGCAGCACGTAATGCGTTTGCAGCAACAAGCATGGGTGGAACAGAATCTACAGAGATGCAGAGCTGGGAAGGAGGGCTCTTTAGAGAAGAATCAGAGGGAGGGGAGGATTTGGACAGTGAGAGTTGTCAAAGGATTGAGTGAGAGCGGCTCAAGGAGGTGGTTTTGGGCAGCAAGAAGGCTTCTGGGACGAGGAGGAGGATGCCAGAGAGATCAGGACTAGGTGACAGATGTTTCAGCATGGTCCAAAGCCTCGGCCAGCACCGAGCTGTGCCTGGAGTCACCCAAGGAGTAACGGGGTTCTGTAGGCCAGGGGAGGGCAGCAGAGACCAGGCCTGGGCCCTGCCCTGAAGAACACCTCCCAGCACCCCAGGCCCTGAGAAGAGCAGAGTCCTGGGCCTCTAAGTCTGAGTGCCCCTCGACCTAAGCCATGTCCTCAGGCTGTGGTGGACTCAGCTTCTCCATGGGCCTGTCTTCTTCTATGGCCACCTCCTCAGGCTTCTCGGCATTCTGGGCCAGGCTGTCCGGCCCAGACACAGTCCCCAGCACTTTGGTGCTGTGCTCCTGAGCTTTGGCTCGGAGCGCCGCAATGCTGTTCTCCCTCAGTTCCTCCTGAGAGATGGCCACCTGAGGGTCGGGGCCCCGTTCCTCCTGCTCCATCTTGTCGAGCTTGGGCAGGGCCTGGCGTTCCACCTCGGGCTTCCTCCCCGACTCAGCTGCTGCCTCCAGCGACTTTTTGTGCATCCCTAAAAAGAATTGTTGGTATTCGGGTTTAGAAAAGCGCCTGGGAAAGCCATCTTGAACTGAAAACAGCAAAGATAGAGAGAGGCCAGAATTAAGGACAAGCAGAAAGCCTTAACTTCACACACCGAAGTCACGCAAGTCCCCAGAGCTGGGGCTGGGTCAGGGAAGGGGAAGGGCAGCTGGGGGGATGAGACTGCAGGCTGGCAGCTGGAGACCAGGCCTGCAGAGGGGTCCTCCATGCCAAGCCCCTGGGCACCTGGCCCTGGGCAGCCTGTTCTGTGCCTTCCATGGCTCGGCACTTGCCTTTCCGCATCCCTCCCTCTCGGGTTTCCGGAGCTTAGACCCCCAAGAGAAGCTAGTGCTGTTATCAGACGTGCACCCAGACGGCAGGTGGAGGAAGGAGGGCTGAAGAGATTTAGGGAGAAGTCCTTTGGGCAGTTAGAATGGTAGCCAAAGGGACTAGGGTTCCCTTCTGACCCTAGGGGGCACTGTTTCATACATCATGAGCCCACCCCTGGCTAAGGTTAGAGGGGGTACAGACCCTAGAATAAGTCATGCCTCTTCCTAGGACAAAAGACTCTTCAATCAGGGACCCTGACCCTCCAACCAGGACAGAGTCTCAGGCACCCAGTAGGTATGCGGAAGCAATAGACACCATGCCCTGGGCCCACCCTGCTGTCTGAGTCCCCCAAGGTAGACCGGGAGGCCTGCTTTGGAGGGCCTCTCTCCTAGGCTGCTGTGGCCAGGTCCCCTTGCTCTAGGGCTCTGCCCCCTCCTCTAAGAAGCCCACTCCCCTCACCACAGGGGCAGGGCCCTGAGGAGAGTGCAGGCTCTTACCCAGTAGCCATGGGGCACAGGAGTCCATGATGCCATCCTTGGCGGACTTGAGGATGGACTCTGGCAGGGGGATGGAGTGTCGCACCATGGCGCCATACAGCCCGTACTCCGCCATGACGCTGCTCCGGCCCCAGCACTTCTCCCGCTTCCTCCACTTGGCTCTGCGGTTCTGGAACCAGACCTGCAGGTTCAGAGGAGCAGGTTAGGCGCCTGCTCAGAAACGCACCCCATGTCTGAACTGGGGATAAGGGCTTTGCCTCCTAGATGGCCACCAACCTACCACCTTGTGACTTGGGTTCCCAGCAGGGTGATCTTACCTAAGCCCACCCACCCCAGGGTACCTCCAGGCTCATGAGGGGTTCAGAATGAGAACCTCAAGTCCTGTGAGAACACAGTGGGTGAAATGGGTCCTTATCAAAGCAGTTCTAGGGAGATGGGGTAGGGCTGCCTCTGGTACAGGGTCTTGCATATGGGCAGTACCCAGTGTGGTCCTCACTTTGCTGCTGAGAAGCCCTGATCCCAGTCATTCTCTCACCAGTGTTCACAACTCCAGTGTAAAATCCAGAATTCTTTCCTGACTTGCAGAGGGACGAATCCCTTTCCAGGGACTGGACTAGTAGAGTCTCTGGTTCAGGGCATCCTCCCCACCAGAACCCAGAGGCTAGAGACATCCAGGAAGGCTGCCAGGTGAGTGTGGGAGCAAAGGGCGATGGGTAGTCTTGTGGGCATTTCATCTGAGTCTCCAGAAGCCTGGGGAAGTACCTTTGCCCCAAGGCAGGGCAGGGGACACTCCAGGAGGCCTGAGTCAGTCTCCCTTCCGGGCTCTGTCCTAGCCAAACCCTGCCACACCCATAGTGCCCTCCATATCACCCCCGTCTCCACAGTCACACTCAACGCTGAGTGATCTTAGGGAATCAGGAATGAAGACAAAACTCAAAGAGTATGAGGAGCAAATGGAGTGGGGGGGGGGGAACTCTAGAGAATGTTTCTCTAGCCCCACAGCTGACTGGTTCAGGATTTTCTAAAGAATGGGGTACCCTGGGGATGTCTACAGCACTCTAGGCTGATTCTTGGAGGAAACCCCAGGATCCTTGGGGAGACGGATTCTTGGTCACCCAAGGCAGCTTTCTGGGACTTCAGCAGCTGACAGAGCCAGGGAGGTGACAGACCCGCGAGAAACTGCTGGGCGCTGAAAGGACCCCGGGCCCAGCCTGCCCACCCGCGCCTCCTCACAGCCCCTCGGGACCCTGACCCACGGAACAGCGAGCCGCCGGGTGGTGGGGGTGAGGGGAGGGAAGAGGCGGGCTCGGGAAAACCTATTAGTTTCCTGGGCGATTTCCATCCCCTCGCCTCGGCCCCTTCCCCCGCCCTTCCTCCCGGGCCCGTCCCCTCCCCCGCCCTTGGCGGCGCAGGTATCAGCTTTTGATGAAAAATTGCTCCAGCTCTATTCCGGAGGCGGCAAAAGAAGAGTCACCCCCAGGGGCAGCCCTGGGCTGATTGAAAAATAAGTTAATTTCAGTTTGAATCGATGGGCCTCAGGCACTGAAATATCACGGGAAATTAAAGCGGCGGCTCTCCCGGGAGCCGCGGCATTGACCCGCACTAATTAATGCTGGGGAGGCAGCGCGCGCCGCGCCGCGCGCCGCCCCCTCCCCGGGGACACCAAACACTTCTCATTTAACTAATTAGACGGGCGAAATTGGGTGTTAATTTGTTTAGAATTTTTTTCCCCTCTTCCCCGGCCGCTCCCGCCCCCGGACCCCGCCCGCGCCGGGGCGCGGGGAATGAATGCGGGGCTCGCCGGCAGATGGCTGCCCCGGTCACTCTGCAATCTTCTCCGACTTGATTGCTTGATTAGGTCGTTAGCACGTTAAAAAAAAAAATTGCTTGCCGTCTGGCGCTGGCGTGATGAGTGGGACGCGCGGCAGCGCCTGGGTAATTTATCTTTTTATACGGCAAAGAATTTGATTTCAGTCTGCAGATATATGGGGCGCCTTTGACACCTGTTTAACATCGCGCCTCTGACAGCTTAACCCTTTGCTGCCTCGGCCGCCGGGAGGGCTGGGCTGGGGCCGCCGGGGACCGGGGGGCCGCGCGCTCCTGCAGTTCCCGCCGCCGCCGCCGCCAGGGGGAGAAATGAGCGCCCCATGGCTGCCGAGAGTCTGCAGCCGCGCCTCGCACCCCACCGCCCCAAATCAACACAGCGGTCACAGAAGCGACCTGCGGGGGTGGAAAGGCCGCACGGTACACGCACTCCTTTAAGTTGACTCAAATGTTTGTAACCCTGTTTTGACATTTCTTCATTTATAAATAACCGGGGGCCTCTAGAAATTGGCCAGTGCCGCCTCTGGGCGGGCCGCACCTTTGCCACCACCCGGCACCTGCAATACATGCTGGGGCCCTCCTGGGAGCCCAGAGCAAACGCGCGAGGCATCCCCACCGTCCGCGCCCAGGTGTCCCTGGGTGACCCCTGACGACGAAAGAGTTTTATGTAATTTGAAGGCCACTAGACGGCTGCAAGGTCCCTGGGTGGTGCAGACAGTCTGCGCTGGATTACTAACCTAAAGGTTGGCAGCCGTTGGAACTCAACCAACAGCACCGCCGAAGAAAGGCCTGACGAAGATTACAGCCAAGATTACAGCCAAGAAGACCCTATGGAGCAGTTCTACTCTGTAAACACATGAGGTCGCTATGAGTTGAAATGGACTCGACAGCAACGGCTGGATGATTGCTCTCTGTGCATCAGCTCTGGCCTTCGGCCCTGCTGGCTCTTGGGCTGTGTTTAAATCTCTCCCCCTCTCTGCGTGCCTAACCTTCAGGCTGTCCACCTGACTATCTGCCCTACCCAGGAACTTCCGTTTGTCTGGGCACTCTGCCCTGTTCCAACCCCCCTCCCATTAGCACTTAATCGCCCTCTACAAGTTCCCAGTTGTCTCAACCAAGCTGACTTCTCCCGCAGAGTAACTCTGAAAGGACTAATCCACGTAAAGGTCTACGTGACTTCTGGTTTCCTCCACCTCTCAGAGAAGACAGCAAAGAATGAACCCCCTGGTGATGGAATTCCAGGCACCAAGTCCTGACCACAGAAGACTGGCAAGGCTTTCTTTGTGACTATAAGCAAGTTATCTGCTTTCAGGTCAGGAATGACCTGTCCTGCTTGAATGCAATGCATTACAAAACCACAGGGCTATAACCCCTTAACTGGTACCTGTGGGGCCAGACTTGAGCGTGTTTTGGATTTTAGGAAGGGTATGTGAAGTATATACCTCAATACCCTGCAGCAGCAGCACCCCATAATCAAACCGATCAGTTTTGATTTCTGCAGCAAAACGTATACATGATGCACACTAAAAGGGATAAACAAAGCGTGTAAGGTCAGGTTTGGTTTTTGCAGCCAAATGAGTTCTGAGGTTAAATTTATGAAAGAATTTTTCATTCGCTCTGGTTTAGATTTAAGGATTCTGGAGAAGGGATTCTGGAGAGACTACAAAGACAAAGATGACCACACCGCCCCCGTGTGGTTGCCTGGGGCAGTGCATCGCCCTGGCTTTTCCAGGAGTTCCATGGGCATCAGTGCTTGAGGTGGGGGCGGGACTCTCAGGTGGAAGCGGCATCTTTATTGGAACACTAAAGAAAAGTGCAGCGTACCTGGGTAGTGCAAAGGATTAGCGCTAGACTGCTAACCAACTCAGGTTGGAGGTTCAAGTCTACTTAGAGGCACCTCAGAAGAAAGGCCTGGTGATCTACTTCTGAAAAATTAGCCATTGAAAACCTCATGGAGCACAGTTCTACTCTGACACACATCAAAATGGACTAAACAGCAACTGGTAAAGAAAGGGGCACAGACTCAGGATTCAGATAATCCCTGGGGCCTGTAAGCTGAACCACTTCCTGGGTCTTCTAATTTGGGTGAATGGTCTGCAGATCAGAATGTTGCTTTGGCTACACTCTCCCAGGGGAGTTGCCACCAGCTGTCGTTCAAACAGGAGCCATCCGGACCCTCAGTTATGGGCTCCTGGAATGTCTGGCTCTCTGCAAAGACCAGATGCTGCTCCAATTTATAGAGGAGACCCGGACAGCCAAAATAATTTCTTTTTAGGACAGTTGGCAGGGAAGCTGTAGCAGTGTTGCCTTGGAGGAAATGGACAAGGGATTAGAATTAACCCTAACCACGCTTTATATTTACCTTTCTTGTCCGTTTCTAGAAGCAACCAGGATGGGTACAGAACTTAAAAGTTTGCAAGAAGCATCAAAGTTGGCCAGTTCTGAACTGGAATTCCCAGCTCTGACAATAATTGCGATGTGATCTTGGACAAGTTTCTTGATTTCTCTGTCTTAGTCTCTTCAAACATAAATTAAGAAAATCTACTTTATAGGGTTGTTTCGAGGATTAAATGAAAGAAGTGAAAGTGCCCAAAACAGTGCCTGTCACACAGCAGGCAATAAAGGTTCATTATTATTATTTCAGTGGAAACAGAAAATCAGTGGGAGTTTGCGCAGAGGGCAGGTGAATTAATGCCACTAGCTGCCCATGTGGCCTCTTCCACATGTCTTTTAGCAAAGTTGAGCTGACTAATAATAACAACAATAGCTATAGGAGGAGAGAGAAAAGAACTTTCAAACTATAATACTTTAATACAGATAGCCCCTGTTGTAGCTGTATGCTGAGTTGATTCCAACTCATAGTGACCCTATAGGACAGGATAGAACTGTCCCATCAGGTTTCCTAGGCTCTAATCTTTTTTTGGAGAATATACACAACAAAACATACACCAATTCAACAGTTTCTACATGCACCATTTAGTGACATTGATTACATTCTTCCAGTTGTGCAACCATTCTCACCCTCCTTTTCTGAGTTGCTCCTTCCCCTTCAGCACAACTTCACTGCCTCCTAAGGTTCCTATCTAATCTTTCAAGTTGCTGTTATCAATTTGATCCCATATATAGGTAGCTCTTAAAAGAGCATAATGCTCAAGGCAGACATTATTTACTAGTTTAGATAAACTATTGTTTGGTTTTAAGAAGACTTCAGGGGATATTTTTGGTTTAAGGTTTAAAGATTATCTTAGGGCAATAGTTTTGGGGGTTCATCCAATCTTCAAGGCTCCAGGAAGTCTGGATTCCATGTGAATTTTAAATTTTGTTCCGTATTTTCCCCCTTTTGATCAGGGTTCTTCT